AAATATAACTTTAAAAAAAACTTTACTTATTATTTTTGATTTATCTTGTATACAGAATTATATTTATAGATGCGCTAGTTACATAGTACATATAGCATACTTATTGTAATCAATAAAATGCTAATTTTTAACACTTCTGTATTCTCATCAAAATGGATTCTTCCATCTTCTATTTATGGAAGAGAATTTGATTATTCTGAATAAATTATATATGTATAAAAATTAACATAATTAATTTTTATATTAATTTATAGAAATAATAATGTAAAACATATTTTTGTTTAAAATTCTTTTTTAAATTCTAACAATTTGATAATTAATTTTTTTATTAATGACTCTAATTAATTAATTATCATTAATAAATAATTTATATATATTAACAAATATATGCAATCTTTTTAATATCCTATTTGTTGAAAAAAATGTTATATTTATGAATTTAGATTGATGTCTATTATTATATTTTAAAATTTTACAGCAATTCTCAAATTTTAAAAATAAATATACATGTATTTCATCATATATATAGAAAAAAAGATATAGAAAAAATTGAGCGCGAAATATCGCTAATAGAATACTAGTAAAGTTTTCGAAAAAAAAATACGTACAAGTTAGTTATATACTACTTTGAATATATATATGTGCGCATACAGTAGCATTCGCGCTTACTCACATGGAGCAGAGAAAGACTTACCAAGATATACAGATATTTTCGTATTTTGGTTTGCAAGTAGTGCCGTCTACCATCTTCTGCGAAAATGTGAACCCCATCGTTTCTTGGTATGTCACTAGCACAAATTCGGCAGTGGATCTCGTCCTCCCTATCGCGCTCAAAATCGCGACCCGCCGTACCCATTTCAAAAAGAAAGAAAACAAATGACAAGATATCACCACGCTAAAAAATGTTCTTATTATTTTATATTTTTCTTTTCACTATTTATATATATAAACACATTTTAAAAAATAATTTATATTAAATGATTCACGCGGCTCTGTTTCACAATGTTAAATTCATTGCTTATTATTATTTTCCCTCCCTTTTGATATCTTTTAACACCTTGATGAAAAATGACAGAAACGTTCGATATAAAACTTTCAGCAATGCATCTTTATGAATGTACCAACGTGTCTGAGAGAGTTGATTATTCTAACGATTTTTTTTACTTATGAGTCTCCCGGATTGGGTGAGATTACTTCAGCACAACGTTAACGCTTTAAAAACGACGTCGGCGCCGGGCGTCGGCGTCTCTCCCGAAACGAGTGCTCAATACAAAATATATAATAGCATTCGTCGATTTGAAAAACATATGTATATAACCAATTGTTTTATTTATGGATTCCGGTTATATCAAACAATATTATTATTAATAAATTATTATGTCTTTTATTATAATTCATTTGTTATTTATATAAGAATTAAAGATTTTATATGAAATCTATAGATTTGTACTTATAAAATTTTATCTTTTACTAGAAATAAAGAATAAAATGTATCAGCGCGGTATTCTTAATTGGTCCGCCATCTTCTTTCATTCATTCCTTTATATTTTTTACTTTCTTCGTAAATGATTTGTCAGAGTTATATTACACTATACATCATTATTGAATCATAAATTTTTTTTATTGAAATAGATCTCGATCGATACATTTGTTAGAAGTCACATTGCACCAGTAAATTTTGTAGCAATTTTTCCAAATTTTCCCGCCATTTTTCTGACTATGTATTACTACGCCTGTAGTGGGAGAGTGAATGTAGATGTTTTTGTCGCAACGAAAAATAGTTCCAAGTACTTGCGAACGAACAGCCTCCCCCTTGGATATGCTACGTCCCCATTTAAAAAAATCAATACTTAATAATTAGCAATTAATACACTTTCCAAGTATATACGACTGCTATCTTGTTTTCTGCAGTTTCTAATGTACGTATATATTTTCTTGTTACGTAATGTTTAATCTTTCATATTAACGTGTAAATTATATAGCTTTTTTAAAATTGCTAAAAAAATATTGTAATATATTATTTTTATAATTGTTTCATCATAAATAAAGAAAATATTATTTTTAATTTACATAGCAAAGTTTGAATTAAATACCTGAATAATTATATTTTTAAGATTAATAAATGAACGTTGGTTTCGAAAATAAGAAGTTATCTCTATGAATTTGTATTATTTTTTTTAATACAAAATAAATTTGATTTTATACAAAAAGATACAAGTAATTAATCAATTCATTTATACTTTTTATTAAATGAAAAATACAATTAAAGTAATTAATTAGATATAAATTTTATACATAGATTTTTTATGCATAAATGTCTATTTTCAAATAAACTTTATTTTTTAATATAATTTGCATTATATCTAACAGAAATATGCGTAAAAAATAAAATATATGTAGTGAAATATATATCATTCTTACAATGTTATTAACTATTAATATAGAACATATATATAGTAATTTGTTAATATACTAAGTACATGTTTAATAAATAAGTATTAACTGTAAATGAAAATCACAAAATTGATTAATTTATAAATATTTATAGTTTATTCTTGTCTTTTCTTAAACATTTTTCTGTAAAGTGTTAAAAAATTAGAACTAACATTAACATTTTGCCTTATTCTGAATTGGCAAAAATAATTTAAATTCTGCTGGCAATTCATCTTCTGAATATAGTCTATCAGAAAAGTATACTCTTCGTATTCTACAGTTTGCATGGATTTGAACCCTTAATGTTTCCACATAATTTGTTCCATATGCACGTCTAGTAAAATCAGCTAAATTAAATTGAATCTGATTCCATCCATCATCTAATCTCATTGGCATTGTACAAATAAATGGCTTTACTCTAGTTGTAGATTGATAATTACTAGCACGAAATCTACGGCGTACATTCTTGTCATCAATTACCTGAAATCAAATATTTATGATTATTTAAAATTTAATATCATATTTTGTTATAAGATAATTAAATATTTTCTTACCTGAACTTCAAATGTAAAATATTTTTTTAAATTCTTAATTATCATCACTAGAAATGGTAATTTTATACCTAATGTTTTTCTAGGATCTGCTGGACATGTTATATATGTAGTACTGACATTACTACCCAATATTTCCAGTACTAAACTTTGTATATCATTATCCGTAATTCGTTTTATGTGCCCGTTTCTTACTTTTTTGTCCCAAATTTGTAATGGCTTGCTACCAATACTATACAAAATTGATAAAAATCCACTTTGAAAAGTGTTTTTAAACATGTTCACTTGCTTATTTCTTCGTCAGTTTTTACAAAAATTTTTTCAGTTATTTTTCTTTATAAAAAACATGCGTTTAGAGAATTCAAAGAATTTTATGCTTTCGTTTTACCCACAACTTAACCTTTCATTTTATGATGTGAATTTCACTAAGAAGTTACATGATTTAAATGATTTTATTTTTGAAGTAATAAATCTCACATAACACTCAACATCATTCAGTTAACAAAAGCATCTGTAGTTTATATCGACATGTTTTTTGAGAAATTTTATTTGCTAAATAACTTTAGCGATAAACATAACCTATAACATTTGTGTTTGATCAATGTTGCTGTTAGATTTACAGCGACATCGGAAATCAATCGATTATCTCGAATGTATCGATTTTAGTCGTTCGAGATATTAAGAATTTAAAATATAATTTGCGATTATTTAAAAAACTGAATACATTTTAACATTTTTACAATCGTTTATTGATGTCAAATACAAACCGATAAAGTTTAAATAAGCAGTAAATATCTACGTATTAAACAATCATTTTAAAACAGATATAACGATTTTTCGCCATAAAAAACTTTATCAGTGTAAAATCTGTACCGTCATAATTTTATTGTATTTTTTAATTTTTTCATCCGATCACACTTCTTTTTTGATTAATATTACTCAAAATTATATTTTATGACTATATTCTCTTGAGGAATGAATAAGAGAAACAAAATGACTAATTTATTATTAAGCACAACTTTCATTTCTATACCACAACATTTAAAACAATAATCGTATGATTATGATTTCTTCTTCCATTATTAGAAAAGCATGTTCTAATTATTTCTTTAACATAAACATATACAATATCATAAGGTAAATTAATGTGTTTCAATTATTTTTTATAGAAATTTTTGAATGAGTTATACGCATTTTTTACTAGTTTGGAATTTATTTCCTTAACTATTGGTACATGATTCAAACAAACTTAAATTTTTTAATTATTCGAATATAAATTGAAAAATTGTTTTAATTACTGAAAATACTAAAAATATTGAAATTTTTGTGCATTTATATATCAATAAATGAAACACAAAATATGTACTACGATATGATTTAATAATAATCAGATATATTAACTTTCATGTACCAATAGTACAACTGTCCAATAATTACAGATTTTAAAGAAAAGCGTTACTTGCAAAATAAGTATTTAGAATGATCTTTTATTCTAATGCATCCGCGTTATCTCTCAGAATCACATTTATTTTTTGTATTTCGTCGAGATATTTCCATTTTATATATCTTAATAATTAATACTTTATTTACTTATTGTTACCACTATAACTATTGTATTACAGTTTACGCGGATAAAATAGG